TATTACCACACCCTAGATACACATATCTTGTTTCAGCTAAAAGGGAAGTGTAGTTGGGAAATGGTCCTATTTATCTTTGCTTGGGTTAAAGTCTGTGGTGTGCATGTACATTCTTGCGATTTAAGGCGGTACTCCGCCTTGGGGAAAGGGCGGGGAAAGAGAGTGTGGATAGGGGTGGGCGGCGGTGACTTCCGTTGCAACACGTTGGCCATTGACACATCCTGTTGCAAACGGTTGTGGGGCTTGCCGCTTGTTATCACCTTACGCTTGCGCAACTAATTACCATTCCTCGAAAGCTCCATGGTGTGTGTGATGGTGTGTCACAGCTGCAAAACTATCAGGTAAGCATTGGGGCCTCACACGCCAAACAACACATTTGTAACCTATTTGTGTGTGTGTGTGTGTGTGTGTGTGTGTGTGTGTGTGTGTGCAGTACATGTAGAAACCTTATGTGTATGTATTTATTCACAAAAAAACAGACATACGTGGACAACTGAAAGGCAGCAGATGTGATTGGAACCTTGAAAACATAATTAAAGTGACAAGAAGAGAAGAAACACCAGCCACAGATGCATTAAAACATTGTACAGCAAGAGAACCCTGTGCCAAATACACTCCACCAGTGATCGAGTGTGTTAGCTGCTTATGCATGCAAATGTTTGTGTGTGTGTGTGTTCCAGACATCAGAGGGCTGGAGCTGTGCCGTCCCCTGATGGCTCTCCCTGTGAGGCTGGCTTCAAAACAAGGGAGGAAATATGTCAGCACTGTTTGTCACACTCAAATAGCTGAACGCTTTCTTTATGGATGGCTGGAATATGAGAGAAAGTGTCAAGGTTGAATTACACGGGCTCAACAGGTTATTTTAGATAACTTTAATCTTACTTTACGTGTGCCAAAAGCAAGCAACAGCTTTGGAAAAAACACTTTGCATGGAGGAGGAGGCATCTTGACAGACTAGATAAAACCTACAGGAATACTGGAGATTTTTTCCATCTCCAAAATGGTCAGAAACAACGTAGAAAATGGTGGCATCATAGTTTATGGAAACAAAGACAATTACTTCCCATCTACCATTCGGTTTATGAGGAAAATGAAGGTCTGTGGCCTCATTTTATGCCCAGATTTGGTGTTCTCCGGAGTAGGTTAAATCACTTCTGCGCTCCCCTCTCAAATCCCCAAGCATGCCAGACATTGTTTCCAAAGGGTTCCCCCCGCTGACACAGCTATGTGTGTGCGTGCGTTTTCTTTTTCCATGCACTCGGCTCTGAGAAAGGGGTGTCACATGACGGCTCATTCCTAGGGGTTGTCACGACAATTATAGTTGCCAGGCTGTCACCAAGGACACTACTCTCATTTTGTGTCTGTGACATCAGCTGGTGCTCCCCCCCCGCAACCTCTGACCTTTATGGTATAAAGGTGTATGTGTGTATCATACAAACACGTTCACAAATAACACACACTTTAAAAAAAAGAGTGTCCTGCATTTGTGTCAGTCTGTATGTGTGTGTGTGTGCGCGCTGAGATCCTAGAGTGGACATATGACGTGTGTTGTGACAAACATTTGTTTATTTAAGATACCAGTCCAGGCCAGTCTGAAGCCTGGAGTCTGTTTTTCCTCTAGCTGGAAGCAAGGAAGACAAAACCTCCTGATAGCCAGAGAGCACATCCTAACTGGATTATCCAGAGCGACAGAGAGACTAAAGTTAGAGGTGTCACATCACCCCGTTCTGCTGGCTGTGTGAGTGAATGCCGTGTTTGTGTGTGTGTGTGATGGAAAATTTGAGTCCCGGTCTTAAAAAGCATCATACCACTCATAACAAATCGGCAAAAAAACAAACTGTGGTGAACATCTGTCATCCGCTTCTGACATGTGTAAACTGTTTGTTATTTCAAGCGTTTTGTTAGTCATGTTTGCCTCTCGGTGTCCATTTTACAGGAAATTCAGCACAAACAAGGTTTTTTTTTTTTTAAAAGCAGAGAAGAAGAAGTAAACCAGCTGCTGGCACAGAGAGGAATGTTGGCCAAACATGGAGGTGGGTTCCTTCCTGCAGACTCAAGAGATGCAACAATGGTATCAGGATGCATATCTGAGCTGACCAACTTTGATATTCAAGAAAAAGCTCGACATGTGACTCTCACAGCTGCAGCTGGAACACCGTACATGGCCGGCTTACAAGGAAAGGCCACACAACAGGAGTAAGTATTTTCCTAAATTAAATAGTTAAAATACAATGTCTCCACCAGACTGAAGGGTCCATCTAGTTCATCATTCAATCCATAAAGCCCATGTCAGAAAAAGCTGAAAATAGAAGTGAGGATACTGCAAATAGCAGAACTCCTACAAGACCAAACAGAGTTTTAAAAGTGTAATCGACACCTATTGATATCTCTGTGATTTTCCACAAGGAGTAATCCCATTCAGCACTTACTGTTGCAACACTAAATCATCAAGTTGGCTGTCCACATGGGTGCTCACCTCATTTATAGTACAAGCACATGGGGTAGTTTTACAGGAATGTGTGCATTGGTTGATGCCAACTCAAAACTGCAACTTAATGATTAAATAAATGTTTGCAAAGTCTTGTTTGGCAATCTAGGAAGTGCTGTTCTATCAGAATATCTGCATCTACATTCATGCTTTGCTCAAAATCCTAATTAGGAGCCCACTGCCACACCAAAAATGTCAGCTGAGATTTAAGTTTCCTTTAAAGTAATTGAATTAGTTTACAGTCAAGCTCTTTACTCGACATCAACTGTTGGAGATTTGACCTTTGGGCTATCAGATGACCTCCCTCCACATAAACCACCCATCTATGGTCTGGAGGGGTGGTGGGTGGGGTACCCCCGCAAGTGAGCCAGCGGTGTGAAATATCAAAGGTGCTATCTCTGAGGTGAGACGAGCGCAGCAGTGGAAACTCCATGATGTCAGAGGCATGCAGGGTATTCATTCATATCCCCAGATTGGTTTAGACACATTAAGGATGGGGACTGGGGCCAGTGCTGATGAAAGGTGATCACATGCGTTCTAGCAACAACACGGAGCCTCACCACCACCCACCGGCTCTGGGCTAGCCCCGAGGTAAACTGATGCCACGGTGACGGTTCACAAAGTTCAGCTGCAACTCCTGTAAATGTCAACATATGAAAAGTGCCCAAGTATAGGGTCTGTCTTTGCGTGCCATTGTGTGTGTGTGCAGGCACATTAATCATGTGGCCTCGTGTATGCTTAGTGCCCGGGATTGTTTTGGTGAATGTGTGGACGTGGTGTGTTACATTATATTAAACCTTTAGTAAGCTTACTTAACTATAACTGCTTTAATTAAAAATGCAAATGGAGGAGAAATGTTGGTGCAGTTTTGAGCACAATTTGTGATTCAAGTTTTACTGCGACTGGTCATGTCAGGTCATAAGAAGCCTGCACGTGTCTGTGTTTGTGTATGTGCACCATGACAATAATGATAGTAGACAGTGTCACACTGGGCCTTGTTTTAACCAATTATCTGTTGTTATCTTCCCTCTACGTTAGAGTCCACTGTTATCTGATTAATTAAACTTTAACATTCATATGACAACCATTTGTTGACATCTACACGCAATCACAGACACACACAAATGCACACAGACGTGTCTTTGACTCTCTTGACCTATATGGACTAACATGTTGCCCAACCACCAGGCAGAAGTATAAAATGAACTGTACAAATGGAAATAACTTTCTGACAGTCTCACTGTGTTTCATTCATTTGTGTACACAAACAGTGACACGAGAATTTAAGTACTTGCTTGTTTATTTGTTCAAAGCGTGCTGACCCCTTTATTACTCTGTCTTAAAAAGAGTTTTATGATACAAAATGCACAGTTTTCAGGAGTTTTGCTGACTGAAACAGTTTTGCAGCTTGTTTGAGCCTCACACTGACACAGAGGAGTGAGAGTGGAGAAGATTTGGGAAGGAAGGGGGGGGTAAAAGGTGGACTGAAAGGGAGGAAGATAAGACGCCAGAGGAGAGAGGGGACATAAAGAGTCATGAAAATGAAGGAACAGTGGGGGTGACAGAGAAGTCATATAAGGGGGAG